CACACACACACACACACACACACACACACACACACATTTAGGGATTTCAGTCCTGACCAATATCCTAAAATATGTTCTTCTGCAAAAAAGAAAAAGAGTAAACCATGTCCTTGTTTTTTGATAGCTGATGTTATTTTTATTGGTCGTTACTGTAGCTAACGCAAAAAAGGGATGAAAAGTGTATTGTGTGAGTGTATACTTTACAAAAAAAAACAAAAAAACTCTCTTACACTACTAAAGAAGATGTGTGTAATAATGCAATGGTGCACGATAGCTATGAGAGATGCTCTTTGTTCAGTCTTTAAAATATGCACACACATGTCACACAAATCCAGTCTCTGCTCGACTGTCCGTACATGCAGGCAGCTCCCTTTACTGGGAAAGAGGAGGAGGAGAGAGATAAGAGGGGATTTCGGTTTCTATGTACAGCTGCTTATATACCGTAGATGTTTCTATTTGATTAGTTTCAGGGTTGTCATACGGGGGAATCTCAGAAAGGCTGTAGCTGCAATCAGTAATGCTGAAGTTTGGATCGTGTTACTGACTACGCATTAGTCTGGTGTCCCACTAGTCGATTTTAAGCTGTAGGCCCAAAAGGACAGACACAGCATTGCACACATTCATTGGGTCTATCTGTAGCTATGACCCAAATAGCATTTGGCTGATCATTTCGAGACTGTTTTGGTCTAATGGTGGTAAAATAAGAATGAGTAAGCATTAAAGATGCTAAACAGTCAGCAGACCGTTAGGTATGGTTGGTGTTGGATGTTTTAATGTATTGAAAAACTGTTGAGATTTTGAGGAAAAAGTCAAATTTTGATTGATGATTTTGGCTCTGGTTCTTCAGAGGAGCTCTGATTGAAAGAAAGGGATTGTAAAGTTGTGCTTTGGTTGGAGTAGCATTTGCTGAGAATTGTGGGATGGCAGGAGGCTTTGTAAGTTTTATGTTTATATTGGGGCAATATTACGGGACAGACCCAGCAATTTATTTGAATGACAACACTGACTTGCCTGGTTTATGCTTGTGGTTAATATTTCTTTTAAGTGCTCATGTATGTTTTTGAGTCTCAGTATCGATGAGACTGATGAGAGTGCTGAGATGAGGACGAGTATCCCATAGTGCTTTGCGACTGGGTGGGGCCTTGGACGTTGCTCTGGTAACCAAGCCGCGAGCTGGAGTGCTGCAATGGAGAGGAGAAAAAATATTTTTTTAATTATTAAAAATTAAGCATTTTGCATGACCAAGCAGTGTACTCACAAATCATTAACAAACTATTAGTTTATAGTTAAAATAAATAAATATATATACAAATATATATAGTGCATGGTCACTGTAATTAACACAACTATTATTGTTTAATTAGCTCATAGTAAAGAAACGGTTAATTGGTAATAAGAAGTGAATAGTTCTAACTTTAGATTAGGTCACTGAAAAAGAAAATGTCATTAATTGCGTTTTAAAAGTGCTTTAAAACCAACTGTTATTGAACATTAACTGCATTCATATTCACTGTCCCTTAAAATGGGTTACAAATGCATTAAGGACACACACACACACACACACACACACACACACACACACACTCACACACACACACTCTCACACACACTCACTCTCTCTCACACACACACACACTCACACTCACACACTCACTTTTGATCTCAGTTGCCACAAAAATATAAAGCACAGCGGTTTTCAACATTGACTATAAGAAATGTTTTTTCTCTCTCACACACACACACACTCACACACACACTCACTCTCTCTCTCACACACACACACACTCACACTCACACACTCACGTTTGATCTCAGTTGCCACAAAAATATAAAGCACAGCGGTTTTCAACATTGACTATAAGAAATGTTTATGAGCACCAAATCAGTAAATTAGAATGATTTCTGAAGGATGGTGAAATGTTTAACATGCACAATTGTTTGGTCAATTCGAATGAATCAATCAGCGATCATGAATTAATAAATAATGTATTTTGAATGAATCCAATGAATCTGAACAAGGAACGCCCCCTTGAGGTGCTTCTCTTACCTGGTAGTCTGTTTGAAGAGCACTGGTTCCTGAGGTGCGAGGTTTTTTGTTTGGTGGCCCCTGTTCCTGTCCATGCTGTATGGAGGGGCCCGTGTTGGCCCCTGCAGTGCCTGATGTGCCGTTGGTCTGCGCTGAGCTCTGCTGTGTTGGAGCCTGCTGTGTCTGCGTTTGTGTCTGCGTCTGTGCAGCCGTCTGCTGGTGCTGCTGCGTCTGATTCTAAAGACCATAAACAACAACGCTGCGCTTTAAATGCCATCTTTGATTTTTTAAGCAATGAAAGCTTAACAGCCACTTTAACGGGGATATATTATTTTACAATAACAAGCACTAAAACTGAACAAGAAGAATACAGTGGCAGAACATGCAAAGTATTCACAGATAACAGATTTGTTTCAGCGTGTGCAATATGCTGGTGAATATAACAAACTTTTCAAATATCATTTGTGTCATGGTTATGTAAAACTCCACCAAACTCCACTTTATATTCAGGTCTTGATAAAAAACAAGTGCATCCTCTTTGTTGAAGAACTACCCCTCCATTTAGCCCTTTTCCTTTAGTTATTGTCCTGTGCCAGCATATATGGAGAGAGAAAGGATTGGTTTAAGTGAATTGTCTCAGGATCACTCAAATAACATCAGGATTAACTATACATTGAGAGAGAGAGCGAGAGAGAGAGAGAGAGATGATAAAAATGTCTTGTGTGCCAGGGAAGGCTATAAAAACAGTAATGAGAGGTCATTAAAAAGAAAACATACATGCGTGTGTAAACTAAAAATAGTGATGTGCCATTTTATTTAGATTAAAACATGGAGATTAAATTAAATTAGTAAAAATAAAAGATGTTTTTATTTCTATAAATCTGTTTAATTGTTACATGCATGACTGTGCAAATCTAAATTCTTCAAATGTTTACTTTGGACATCGTTTTTAAGTAAAAAATTGTGAAGAGTATTTTTATATAATTTTTGCTTGTATCTGCGACGTGTTGTGCAGGATCAAACACACAATGCAGGAGAACAAACTAACAATCTTTATGAATAAATCCAATGGGAATACTCAGGAGAAACCATAAAACAACAACTGAAACATACAAACAATACCAGACAAGGAACTGACTAAAACTGGGGGCTTAAACAGATGATTAACAGAATCACTATGGAACCATATGAGTGGAGGGAAACCAACTAAACCAAAACAGAAAATAACCCTGACAGTATCACACACCTCAGGTTTTATTCCATGCCTGAAATATTGACCAATTTTTGACAATTTTTTATTTTTTTAATGATCAGCATTGGCTGAAGAGTTTTTCTGTTTGGACGATTTTGGATGTTGTTTCTTTAAATTTACATGCACTTTAATTTTTTTGTGAGCTTTCTTTCTTTTACATTGGGCCCACTAGGCCAGCAAAGAATGTAAAGGTTATTTTAAGTGCAATTAACAAGCGTATGTAGACACAAATCTAAACCTAAAGATTTACCAATGATTACCTCAATATTTTGAGTTCTGATAACTTTTAAGAGCATACAGTGCAGCTTGCATAAAAACACATGTACTCTGTGCATGACAGTCTGTCTGCATGACGAAAGAAATACACTATAATTACAGATTTCATTTAGATAAATAACGTAGTAAAATAAAAATAACAAAAAAAAAATCAAATTGATTTATTCTAAAAAGACTTTACTGCAGTAAATATTATGTCAAATAAATCTACATTTATGAAACTGTGCATGTGTTATTAACTACCTTTTTAATTTAATAGTGTGATATCATATAATCCATCTCGAAGACATAAGCAAAAATCAATATCAATCAACCACTAATTACAAAAGGCATATTTCTGACTCTAACAAAAGTTGCTGTCCTGTGTAGGCTAGGAATATTTGTAAAAACGTCCTATGGTGTCTGTTGACATGCCGAGCTGCAATAGTTTGAGACTGTCAAAGCTTAGTCATGTTGTTTTCTTAATTAAATATAAATTGCTAACATTAAATTATTTAATACTGACATAAATGCACTGGGTATGCAATGACAAAGTCT